TCAGATATTACATAAACAGCACTTCACAATTGAGATTCTGGAATGATACATATGTCTTGAAATAAGACTTATGACTTGCATTAATTGACGAGCTTAAGCCGTAGCATCGATACTGGCCAGGACCTTTTTGTCTGTTCAAATCAATGTAACTGACCCTTTTACCAAACTTAATAATAATATAAACATTTTCTGCAGTGAGGAAAAATACCCACAATGTGTACATACAGTATGTTACAATTTGAGTCTGGAAACATATCAGACTCATGAAATTAATTCACTGTATTGCATACACAAAGGCAATGGCATCAGTGTCAAATTTAATAAGTACTCTGATCAGTACACACAACATGAGCCAATCACACTAATCAAGTAACTGGTGTTACATAGTGGGTTAGGTGAAGGGTTAGGGGTTAGGGTACCCTAACTTATTCCAGATTCTTTGTGTGCACTGATCCACAGGTGGCACAAAGCAGAAACATCCCCGCTCCTCCTCCACACTGCTGCTCAGCCGGTCATTAAATAACCATACTGAAGCTGAGCTGAAGGAAGCCCTTCATCATGTTTCTACTCATTAAGTCAGGACCTCATTGCCATTCAGCTGACAACAAGGCACACTGGAGCTGCTCTAATTGCTTCCTACCACAATGAAAGGGTGACAGCATATGGGGAGAAGAGTGGCAAGGCGATGGTAAGCCCTCTGGACTGGTGTGAGAGTCTGAAGCCTGCAGGCTGTTCGTTTTGAGACATAGCCGCCCTCTACCTGGGCGGGTCTTGTTGGCCTGGTTTCTCTGTGCAGTTTCTGGCTGTAAACAAGCTTTATTTATGGTAATGAATGGAGAAGAGAAAAAAACATCTTCCTGAGCACGAGATGCCATTTTGTGCAGGTTAAGTATGGCATGATCAAAAACATAGGAAGCCAAAAGAGTCTAGTCAGCAGGTGATTCTTAGTGATTTCATCTCTCACTCTGTGCACGCCTCTGGACCTGCTATGCTGTGACAAACTTTGGAAATGGCAGCAATAAAGTGTGGATCAAACCATGGGAATAACACACTGAGATCATAGTCAGCTTCTCACCAAGTCATGAATCACACCCTGTAGCTGATATTATTGTGACTCAGAGGGCAGACCTCGGACATGCTTTATGCCAGGTTAAGAAGGGGTTTTACTGCATAACGTCAATAAAATGTTTCTTGTTCTGTAGAGAGATCAAATTAATGTGTGTTATAATGTTTGGTTTAACAGAGGTCGCATCAACTGAGTACAAACAAAGCCAGGAGAGGCATCCAAAAACATTGTTCACCTTTATCCACTGATCAAAAGCTGAAGCTGAAAGTTAATAATGCACAGTGTCTTATTGTTTAGTATGGACATGTCCAGGGCCATGCTAGTAGCTCTCTGAGGTTTTAGGCTACATGATAAAATATGCTAAAATGCTCACAATGACAGTGGACTTGCTGGCATGTTTACCATTCTAGTCACTAACAGCTCCTAGTTAGTACTAAACATAAAGGTCGGCTTTGGCTGATGGGAAGTGTTATTAGTTTTGTAGGTGCTGGGTCTTAAACCAAAGAATTGGACACTGAAATCTGACCTAAGGGCACTAGATGAAAAGGTGAAGAACAGTCACAGTTAATTATAATTCATCCTCAGGGTGACATGAATGTCAACCTATCCAACAGTTGTTGAAACATTTCTCTCAGAAGCAATAGTGTCAACCTCATGACGATGGCAGAGGCCATGATGTGGATGCAGAAGGGTTTGAATGGATAAGCAATGGTGCTTGAGGGGATGAACCAAAGTCAGCAGAATTCATCCATTCATGATGAATGCCTGTACAAAACTTCACAACAATGAATTTAATAGTTACTGGGATATCTTAGTTTGGACCAACTGTACGTGACAAATATGTTTTTTCTTGTGCCTGTGTATTAACTTGCCACTGATTTTATTGGTAATTAGGAAAGCAAAACTAATTCTTTGAATGGGTCTGTGCTGGGTAAAACTCATATGGAAAGCAAATGAAAATGCCAAGAGATGAGGGGGGTTGTAATTAATTGAGGATTTTTTTCTCCACAGTGGCCTTTTAAGGGAGCCGTACAATAACTGCAATGGATAAAGTGATGAGTGGAGAGGACAGAGTACAGTCCTCGGTGAGAGAAACCATATGTGTTTCACTTTCTAACAGTGAGCATCTGTGTTGCTAATGTCTGTACTGAATGGGAGGTGGAATGTTCCTTGGTAGGTTAAGTTTGTTTGTATTCTAGCAGAAAGACTTGGCTAATGGAGCCTGACTGTTTCCTTCATTCGCTGGAATGAGCATGATTCCCCTCCCTCTGTTCTGCCTGATCCTCCCATCCCCCAACCCCTAAATCCATGCCACACTCACACTGCTCACATGCAATGTCTGCAGGAGCTTCCACCATCCGTCAGCAAACATGGGCATCAAAACATCAGCACGGACAGTGTTGGGGTATGTTAGCCTGAGGACTAGAAGACACACTGAGAGATACAGTTTGCTGAACTCTGCTCAAGCACAGAAGTCAGCCTCCAGTTTTAATCCGAAAATAATTCTGTAGAAATCAATAATGAACATACAAGCTTTTTAATCAATTGCTAATTTGGTGTTGTCTGGGTTTGTGCAGCCAACAGTCTTCAGCATCAGCAAGATGTGTTCACAGCCAGGGTGCTAAGTAGGCCACAGCAGGGTATGTGTCCAATAAGATGGCTCGATAGCTCCTCAGCCCGCTGATACTCTACCTGCCCAGGTGCAAACCTACACTTGTGAACCAGAGGAACAGGAACTAAAACCTTCAGTGTAGATAACTGGGTGAGGTCAGACGTCCTATGTTTTCTTAAAGAGACAAAACGTTCCTTGCTTAAGGGACTTGGACTACAATCTTCTGAAACTAACTGCTGCTTCTCAGATAATACTGCATGTTCCTATTGCGAAATAAAGGACTAGCTAATTGCTTGACAAACATGTTTTGTAGACCATGCAGTTATCTCGCTTCAGGGGAGAGATTAACATAAGCAGGATCTGAGCCAAGTTGATGTATGTTGTTTGTATCAGCTGGACCAAACAAGCTATTTTTTTGGGATGTAACCGAATAAAACAAAAGTAGTCCCTGATAAGCATCTCACTCCAAGCATCACAGCTTTCTTGCCAAGTCAAATTGTGAGGTTTCTATGGTTTCAAAGGGGTTGGTTCTTTATCACCTGGATACATACAGTACACAAAAAAAGGCATTTTTATATCATGTGAGAAAGGAAGCAGCTACAGCACTGGACTAAACACGAATGTTTCCTGGTTTTAAGATAACTAGACACAGCCACTGACTGAGGAAAACGTACTCCTTAGACACCTCTGGGCAAAACAATATCAAGCCCACTGAGATTTTTATCAGGTGCTGACTTGAGATAGAGGATATAATGTGTGTTAAACTGAGCATGAATAAAGCTCACTGTTAGCAGAGACCTTTTGTTACCTTCTTCTGAGCCGTAGTTAGTAGTTTCACTAACAAAAGGTTCAACAAGCTCACCATCAAAACAGCTCAGCTTCAGCGTCATGACCTTAAAGGTCTACAAGAGGGTCAACACAGATGAAAATCCACTCCACGGTCATATATCCATCACCCCTCCTATCCAACATCTCACTATACTGTAGGGTCTCATTATCCCACTGTCAGTGCTGCTGTTTTGTAACCCTGTAGGTGCATCAGACCGACAGTAAGTGGAAACAAGAAGAAGGTACGGTGTGGACCAGAGCTGCTGTACAGATGTCAAAAACAATAAAGTGCGAGAGTGTGTATTTTTTGGAGGGTAGAGCAGTCTTACATTCAGACTTTGGGACAGTAAAACTCCATAAAAACCTTCTGTATGCTAGCAAAAGTCTTAGGTTGATATCTCCTCAGAGAGCAGGGCTTCAGCGCAGCTTTTTGCAGATTATGAGCCATGAAGCAGACTGAATGAGATCCCCCCCTCACCTGTTCTACCACATATTAGATGTGAACATCACCGGCTAGAATGATATTTCATTTGAAAGGCTACAATGTGAGAAAAGGCAAAGTCAAATTAAAATCAGCACATAAGCATGCTGCCTTAAAAATAGTGTACCGACTACCCAAGATCTTGTCTTGTACAACAAAAACAAATTAGGTTTTAATGCTTCACCTAACAAAAAATAATGATGATTAAATGAAGACAATTAAATCTCACTATGGGAAACTAGTGAGCCTTAAGTATTTAGTACAACACATGATACCACTAGAAGGATTAGTTATCATGCACAGCGAGCTCCGCTACCCACTTTAGGAACAACATTTACCCATACTGCCTTGTGAGCCAGCCAGAAGGACACACCCACCCAGCGCTGCACACTTGGCAACTGTCAGTGAAGCTCAGCAGCTTTAGTGTTGAACCCCATCCATACAAACTAAACAGGTCCTTTGTGGCTGTATCTGCTTCCCTCCATCACCACTTTCCTCTGTCTACACATCTTGCTCCACGTTCCAGAAGGACTGTGGTGACAGAACATGACTAGTAATAATGATCTTTTCACTTCACTTTCTGCCATTAAATCAAGGTCTGAGGACAGCTTTCCAAAACATCACAAGTTCAGAGGAATGCTGAGTGAAAGTACGCCATGCATCTTATCTTCTCATTGTCAGTAAACCCCACACAAAGCCTAAATATATGAGAGATTGTCAGGAGTTCATAGTGGAAAAAAACTGTTGCAATAAATAACAGCAGTATACCAGGTTGGACACAGTTTGGAAGATTGGAAGCAGTGGTCAGTACATGCCACCACAATAACCTGGGAGAAACCTGACATGACTAAAAAAAGCCCTCCCAGTGTCATGCATGCATTCAGCATCTTGCAGTTGCCATGCCAACCTGTTAGCAGACTGCTGCTGCTGTGATGAAAACAGGAAATCCTTCTTGGCTATTGTGCAATACTGAATCAGAAACATGCCCGGGCAAGATAGCGGTGACAACTCACCGAAATGTCGAAGAGCTCCTCTGTGTCATCCAACATACGGACCCTGACGGTGACATGCCGCCCTGGGGGCATAACTGGGGGTCTTTGCCCAGGATCCAATGTACTGATGCCAAGAGTTTCTGGGGCTCCAAGACGCTGCCCTGCTCCAGAAGACACTGGCTCTGGGTCTGGCTCTGCCATAGTGCACTGCACTGGTCACTTCCCAGCCTGCAGAAAAACCAAAACCAAGAAGGACAGAGATACAAATGTTCACATTCTCAATCACTTCACAGGAACACAAAAAGATAATTGAAGAGCTGTAAATAAATTATTCCAATAGTAAGAAACCTCCTCTCACAGCGAATCAGAAGAGGCAGTAGGTGAAATACAATGAATGCATCAGGGCCCAGAAGACAGGCTGCACAACCTTCTGTGTCACACTAACAGAATAATTGCAAATGCACTATTTGTGCTCGCCACTAATGGCTGATAATTGCTGCCTCCGGGAGAACCAATTATTGTAATAAGAAATTTTTTTTAAAAAGAGATCCAAGCACGTTCTTGAGTTCAAAGCACAGATCAGGTCGGTTTAATTTGATTTGACAAAGGAATCACAAGGATAAAGTGTAAAATCAAAGAGTCAATATGATGACAATTGATTTGGAAAGTTGTAAAGCCAAAGCACAAGAGCCAAGACACAGAGATTCAGTCAGGTTTTAAAAGGTCTCAAGGACATTAAGTCATAAGGAGACTGCAGGCAGTGTGAGGTGAATGAGCTGTTAATTTTTAAGCTATAATTAGAGAGCTAAAAAACTGACATCAGGAATACTCTATACACACAAACTCTAGATCCAGCTGTGACTATATAGAGTCCACGTAGCGCTGTTTGCTTTTAAAGATACTCAGCAAATGTTTGCATCTAACAGACTCACACATTCCCTACTATAGTGACATCCAACCAAGTTACCTGGGGTCCTTCTGCAGTTTCCACGAGCTACACTGAAAGACTGTGGAGAAGCTTAACTAATATGAAAAAATACAAAATAGGATTTGAATAAAACATACATTATCCACTTAGTGAGTCTGCTGTAACAACTGAGCATCATCATTAAAAAGACAAGCAAAGTTTTAAAAAAGGGGGGGATTAATAGTTGTAATGCTTAAAAGTAGTGGATTAAATGTAAAGACAAACAGGTAAATAAATAAATAGTGAGATTTAAATAATGGACAATAGCTAACAAGTGTTCAAATGCTTAGACATAGTTAGACTCCCTCAGCAAAGTAATGAATAAATGGGTAATACAGTTCAACTTAATGGCTAAGCCACTGAAATAATTTGCTTAACGTAGCCTAAGTGATAATGGCTGAAATAAACAATAGTGTCAATACAGAGGTTCATCTGACAGGACAACATCTGACATCTACTATCACATCCAGCTATTGGACGGTGCCATATGAAATTCAAATATAGTCAGAGGTCCAGAATCAGCAATGATCTGCGGTGCCACTCGGCCCGTGTTTGTTCCAGACAGCGTAATGTTTAAACACAGTTGTGGACTCATTCGCCGTGGGCTGACACATGAGCAGATCCACCCCCGATGTGTCCACAGCCAGATCCCTCTGGGCTGTGCTGCCCTGCTTAATTCTCTCTTCACTGTGCATTCCAGCAGGCTGAGGTCACGCCGGGACCTCACCAAGCGGTTCATCAGAGCACTGAGGCCAGTGGGCAGCTGCTCAGCTGTTGTAGAGGTGAATGGCTGCTGCCAATTTTTAAGATGAACGCTGAATAAGGCATTTCAAAGGAGTGGATAATGTAATCCAGCCAAGTGCAGGGACAAAACAGACCAGGGCAGCAGATACACTAAATTCTGTCTCATAATGGTCTGCCTGATCCTTAGGAGAGGAACATAGAAGGTTTTCAGCCAAATACTGCAGACTGAAGTTGGAGGGGATTGGATGAATCAGATGCCTAAAAGCAGACTAGTGGGGTTGCAATGACTTATGGTTTTTCATTATTGATTAATCTGTCAATCATTTTTGCAACTCAGTTTAATCATTAACTCTGTAAAGGGCTGGAAAATTGTGAAAAAATGCATCCTTACTTCTGAATGTTTCTTTAAATAGTTTTTTGCCCAACCAACAGTCAAAAAGCAGTGACAATGAATACACAGTAACATGGAAAAGCAGCAAATCTTCCTATTTTGAAAGCAACAAGTGAATATTTGTCAGCTCGATAGAACTGGATTATCAAGAATTTTTTGGTAACTATTGATTAATAAATGACTTGCCTAATCATTTCAGCATTGCTAACTAGGGCATCAGTACTTGGTTGCATTTTGGAGCTGGTTCCAATTATGTGAATTAGTCTGCCTCCAAGGCAAACCAATATCTGCTATCTTTTTACTTAACAGAAAGTCTTTTGTAATTCAGCTAATCAAAAAAAATATCATCCACATTTTTAACATTTTAGAGTCAATCTTGGACTTAGTTTTGGGAACTTATTCAAAACTTTGGTTACATGTAAGTGTTTTTTATAAAAAGATTATCCACAAACTCATGTTTAATATGTTGCTATTATGTATGGACACAGGGTATGTATGGGGCATGGACACAGGCATCATCTTTAATTCAAGCCCAGCCATTTATGACACTTGATCCTCACACTGCCATCAAACAGTGGCCCGTTGCATGATTACTGGCAAGTGCTGCATATCTAGTCTGTGAATTCACCTCCTATATGCCCTGCACTTGCATGCCATGTAACCAGACACTCTTCAAACAAAGCACCAATGGAACAGAGTGCAGTGAAAGCATAGACAGTGATTATTTCAGCCCACACAAACCTTGTCCTGCACCAAGGATCATGAATCAACCAGTCGTGAGTCTCTGAATAGGTAACTCAGGTCCAAACAAACACACAAAGCTGACACCGATTGTATAAATGGCATGCTGTTCCCAGGGCCACAGACACGCCCACAACACAATGCCACAGGGATGTTTGCAGACCTCTGAGTGTTTCTAAGGGTAAACCACTGTGCCTTTGAACTTGTTTGCTTGAAATTCCCCACAGGAGTGCAACACTAAGCTGTGACTATTGGCTTACAGAGTCTCTGGGTTGTAACAGCGGCTCCTAAGTGTGCAGGGGGCACACAGGGGCCCTTCAGTGCAGTCCAGTGCTGCACAGCTGGAATCCTTTAGTGACAGCAGACTGCCCAGAGGTTGGAGCTGATACAGCCAGCTGTGTACCTGCAGGAAGCTTCAAAATAAAAGCAAAAAAGAAAAATCTGAATTTCCACCGTGCTCTGGAACACACACTAGTACCTGGGTGTGGCTGGTAAATTGCTGCAAGTTCCCACTATACTACTGGCAACGTGACATGTGCTCATCAAGTGAAAAGAATGACAACCAACAGGAGACATGGCTGTTGTAAGAGCCGGGCTGCCATTTAAAAGCCTCTGCTAGGGGAAACCTGAACGATGACTGAGAACACTGGACAGAAAATGGTGAAATCCAGCGCTCATGGCTCACCTTACACGTTGTGGCAGTGTGGTCACACGAGTAACGAAATGTAGGTTATTACAGCATGCTGGTGTAATCTCCAGGACGTTATCAGCAGCGCAGCGGATGCGACATTAACGCACCGAATGGACTCTGGAAACTAAGTCGCCGGCGTAAAACGCGCACTTCTCCGCGACATTTCCATCATTTAAATGTCACACGGGGACATGATGCGTTTTACAGCTATGAAACAGAAGAGACTGCAGCGTCTTGCACACAGCTAAAGGCGTGCAAAGCAACCCACAGCGGAGGACAGACAGGACACTTAACTGGCTGCATATGAGGATTTTCCCACAGTGATACTTATTTACCATGCTCGAAATCCAAGGGATCACAAAACAACACGGCAAAGATACTCGCAGGACTTACCCCTAATCTCTTCAAACAAGTTGAATCACTTCCTTTCAGAGCGCACACACACGCACAGAGAGAGAGAGAGAGAGAGGACTTGCTTGCACGATTCTTACCCCTTCTCTCGAAATGCGGACTTATCCACAGGTATGTATGTCCCAGCTGAAAGGAGATACTGCATCCACGTCCAGCCGTGGTGGAAAAAAGAAAGCTCAGGTAGGGTTTAGATGCTGCTTGTACCGGAGAAGAGGCGTTTTGCGGTCACCATGGCGGACGACTGGGTGAGTGTGCCTGGGAGAGACGGGATTACACTGAACCTAGCGGCAGATCCACTCCCGGTGCCTTTACTCAGACACCTCCTTCATTGTGCAGCTCCTCCACCTTCTCAGCACAGGGACGCCGAAGAGCAATAGCACCATCTAGCGACGGCAGCTGGTACAGACTCGTTCACGCATTAGAGGACAGTGTTTCAAGGTTTGAATCGATATACAGTATACAGTACTTGGTAAAATGTGCTTAAATAATCTAAAGGAGGAGTACTTGTTTAGCAGAGCACCGGTCCCAGTGAATGATATAATAGCCTAATTAAGCAGTCTTGGCAAGACTGAAGAACAAAAGGTCAAAGTACTGTGAATAGTGACAACCCACAGCTACTGTAGCCTAAGAGTACTAGGCCTCAACAGTTTTGTGTTTGTGCAGTCGTGTAATTGTTGTTTTTAATTTACACCTGCCTTTGTGTATGAAAATGTGTTATAGGCCTGTAAATAAACTTGCCTTGACTAATATTGATGCATCAGTGTGTAAGCAGCATTAGATTTCTATATAGTTCAATGGCTTCCGGCCTAGGGTTCAGATTCTTTCAATGGGTCAGAACAAGAATCTTAACTGAGATGATTAGTGGGGAAGGACAGAAGAAAAAGTTGTGCCTCAAAAATGTGTAACCCCCTAACCTTTTTTTCATCTATTTGTGGTGGCTTTGTATTACTGTGCTCACTTCATGCTGAGGTTCTGGTACAGGGGCTCTGGGCCTGGTCCATATAATACTCCATCTTATAAGCCTTAATGAACCTTCAGAGTGCAGCTGGTAGGGGAGACACCAAGTGGGGCCAACCTGATTGCAGGATACCAGACTTGATCACCCCTCTGGCTCCACACCTAGACTCATCAATCAGCCTACAGTATTAACAGTTTATTGTCTAAATCAAGGAAATACTGAGATGCAAAGCCCATCTCTTCCCATTGCTAAGTGTTCATTTAGTTTGTTTTCTCTGGTTTATGGATGTTGTCCTGTGGCTTTTGCTGGGACTGGTGCATCCACATGGCCCACTCCTTTGTGCATGTAGCTACTTGAAGGGACAGGGATAAAAGACAAGCAGTCTAGTAGAAAGCTAAGACTCTTGTCTCTGTTTCATGTCTGCTTTTGTGTTCGCCCACCTTCTTACTGGCAGGAAGAGAAGTCTCCTACGCCTTAGTGGTGTAGGACTGTAGATGTTGAAATCACACTTGGTGTCTTGGCAGCTTCAGTAGCCCTCTGGAGACGCTGACTTGGAACTGAAGTAAAAATGAACATTTCAGCGAGAGTGTGTACACAAGTGAGAGCTGCAGAGAGAAAAAGAAACCAGGCAAGTGACAATACTGTGTTGGATTAGTTATGTAAACGTTTGTTCCACAAACTGATTTCTAATCCAGTTATGTAATATAAAATACAATTACCACTTCACACTGATCACCACAGGGAGAAGAAATACAAAGAATAATTAGGTTCTTATACTGTCTCAACAGTAAGGTGTGTTTTCTTGACAGAATCTGGTTTCCATTCAGGTCACTATACATTTATCCCATAAATTAATATCATCAGAACATTTTAACCTTTAAAACTAAATGTAGCACTCTTGTTTTTTTTCTGCACATTGTATTTAAAGTTTTAAAGGGAGGCACCACAAGGCTAGATCTACTGCTTAGGGGCCATAAATTAACTGCTGGGCCCCTGTTAACATACACTTTCTCCCACTCTGAGCCATGTGTTTCTAAACTGGATAACTATCTGTTCCCAGATCTGCTGTGTTGCATTTGAGTAATTTTAGGACCACGTAACATGTACACAAAACAGAAGTAATGTAGGTGTTAACAGATGATGACATACAGTACACCTCATAGTGCCTCTTCAACACAGAGACCCAGCAAACAGATTATGACATACAGTACACCTTCTAGTGCCTCTTCAACACAGAGACCCAGCATCAGGCAGCCAAGCACCTTTAGCTCCTTATAATGGCAACTGATATTGTATTTAGTGGTGCATATTCCCAAACCAAAGAGCAGGTAAATTGGCAAAAACTAAGTGACACACAGTAATCTGAGAGCCTTCTGGGTCTCTGGAGGTTTTGTGCCAATAAATATCTACCAAGATACAGTATATATGTATCTACCAGGTTACACTGAACTCCTATCATATCCAGTGATGTATCTATATTAACACAATTGTTCTACCATTAAACCAAAGGATATTGTCAAAACCCCTCCTCATCGCTATATTTTAACATGTAGGTGTAAATGAAAATGCATCTGAAAGGGTATATATAAAGGTGATGTCATCCTTATACACAAACTTTTACAGCATTTAGCCAATTAAATAAGAATATATTGATGCAGTCTTACACCTACTCTTTCTGAAACACCTTCAACATTTTATTACTTGTTTTCATCTATGTTTAACAACAAAAGCAGGTGCAGTCTCAGAGAAATTGATAGGTAAATATTTATGAAGTGCATATGGTCTCAGCAGGTTCTCCATCCTTGACAATCGTTTATTATAAGAACAGCCAAACAAGGATCCAAAAGCAAGAAGTAGATGTGGAAACTTCAAGCCAAGTATTTTAAACCACAAGTTTAAAATTTCTCTCACACTTTCAATCACAAAATGTAGACGCAGTGTTTCTCTAGTGATAATCCATCAGAGTGTGTACTGTACTGCTACATATGGGCACTGTCATGAGCCAGGTACCAGATGTCAGCCAAATATCAACGTTATCTTAATGGTGAACATCTAGTATCTCTGCATCACCGTCATTTGACAACCCAAACACAAGCTCCAAGCTTTTCCATATATCAAGGTCTTCAGCTGTCATGAACTTGATTCTGCTGTTTCCATGGCACTTTCTAAACTGTCTTTTGTTTAATCTTGACAAGTTTGAGACTGATAAATAGTCCAGTGATCTATTTATTGCTCCTGAAAGGCACTCACTTTAAAAAGTGATGGAAGATGGAAATGAGATCCAGTTTCTCTTTTAATCTCTGTTGCATCTCCTGTCCTGTCATGATTTCCTAGTGTTGTTCAAATGGCAGGTCATCAGGGCCAGAGTTAGACTTTTACATTTTACCAACTCCCACTGTTCCAGTCAGTCTGGAGCATGTCTGATTGCCTTTGCTGCCAGATTTGGCTCACTTAAAACATACTGAACTGACTATGAATATAAATAACAATTATAAAAAGTGAATGGATATATCATTACAGCAAGATTTTACTGAAATCAGTAACATTTATGTTTGTTTTTATAGTGGTTGAATCACATGCTAATTAGCTTTTAACATCACTGATCAAAGAGTACACTTTCCTACAGTCCCCAAAAGGTCATTTTCTCTTCTGTGTTTCCAAAACAAGTTGCTACTGAATCACAAAGTTTAAAAGCATTGAATGAACACGCATAACATTTTATTGCTAATTATGGAATCAACCAGTGATTATCATCAGCAGGTGCAATTACAATGCCTGTCTTGAGACGTTTTACATGTTGGTGTCCTTCCTAAACAGATGCTTAATAGAGGTGAAGTCAAACATCTGTGGAAATGTGCAAGTAAGGTGGAGAGTTGTTACAGCTGAACAAACAAAGGCAGGGAATCTATTTTGTACAGAGAGACCATCCAAGGCTCAGGAATCGGACTTCCTCTCCTTAGATATGAGCATCATGGAGGTCCTGTGCAGCCCCCACCACCACCACCTCAGCACAAGACAAACTGTAAAATTGTCGTTCTATGGATATGAGTTTAGATGAATGTAGTTGTTCGAGTCTATTTGCTAGTTTTCTGTTTGAATAATTTAGGCCAAAAGTACTTTTTCTCCAGGGAACAGTGGAAATTCTCTGCAGGACTCCAATCACATGCCCATAAAAGGATGTTTGTCAGATTTATATACTCTGGTTGTGTGTTTATAAAATATTATTTTTATCCTTTATTCTCCTGTATTTATATCTGAGTCAAGAGAAAATGCTTATCTTTTTTATTTATTATTTTTTGTCAGCCTGGGAGCATTTTGTTTGATCCCACATGTAGGAAAACACAAAATCTTGCAGCTGTTGTATAAATCCATCTAATTAGAATTAGAATTTCAGATGACAGATGGTATAGATTTGAGCCCTGCAGTCTGTGAGAACAATTTCATCACACTTGTCAATATGTAATACAGAAATATCCATCATTTTACAAGAAACAGTGAGTCACTTGCTGTTAGCTTCTCTCCATCCTCAAGGGATTAGTTGGACTAGTCGTAAAATGTATTTTATCTTTTAGACCAATCAGGTGGTGAAACTGAGATGAACGAGGAAGGAGTTCTGTCACAAGGGAATATTCTGACCCCTTAACCCTGGGAAAATCACAGCATGCCATAAAACACATACACAAATGATACATGAGGATCTCACTGATGACCACAGCATCAAATTCAAAATGATCTGAATGAAATCAGCAGCTTGAGTTTAGTGACTCACTTATCCCAGGGACTGCAGGTTTGGCTCCTCTATATGTGGCTGTGCAGATATGGATGAAATAACAAATGCACCTGTAAAGTTGGCACATCTGTCTCTTATCTGTCATCTATACATTTAAGAAGGAGAGATCAAAAGGACAAGAATAACCAAATGTACGGTGTTAAGCAACAGAAATTTTATTTTGGCGATTAGACCCCTGCGATGTGAAGCGTCTTCATTAGGTGTAGGTCTGCATGAAGAGGAGATAGGATGATCCCCAGAGTTTGGACGTTGGTGGTGGTTTGGAGCAATTCAATTCACTTTATTTGTATAGTGTCAAATGATAAGAACATTGTCTCAAGGCATAGTAAGTTCTAGACCTTACAGTATTATAGAGAGAAAACCAACAAGCCACCCCTTGAGCAAGCACTTGGCAAGAGTGGAATGGAAGAAAAGCTCTGACTGACTGCCTCTTGGTAGACAGACTTCTGCTTGTTCCGCAGGGACTTCCAGCTACAGCTCCAGCAGAAAGGTACAGGGGAGAAAGAGAGAGCCACACACTACGGGAGAGAGGAGACAAAGTTAATGACATGCACTGGTGACATAAATGCATGGAGGCTATGGTACTCTCTGGCACACAAAAGTTGCAGTGTACCAACAAGCTGTTTCCTGTCCCCACCAGAGAAACCGACGTGGGATGCTATGACACAGAAGCTGTCGCATATAGCTCATGTGGGGATACGTTTGGCAGTATCATATGTAGATGGGGTTGTTATCAGAGCTTTATTATGCAGTAGACGCGATACCAGCTGGGAGTGTGTATGGGGTTCTTGGGAGGGAGCAGGTCTGGCAGAGACAGACAACTCAGAAGGCTCTAAATAAACTCTGGGACTCTCACTTTGGGTGTATTTGCCTTATTTTTCATGATGAGGTGATGAGAATGACAGAAGTGACTATTAAAACTGGATTGTCAAGTGTACAGGTTGACACTGTGGTGAATTATTATTCCAGC